TCACCTGATTCTAGGTCCTGCCTGGATGCTAGACCGGTCCCTGCAACCTTCCCCCCCCCCTCCCTCCCCCCTGGGCTCCATCTACCCACTGACGTAGTCACGTGCAATACAAGTCTATGGACTTGCAATGGACACGAGGACGCCAGGTGATATTCCACAGCCATGTCCCATAAAGGTTAGCAGGCACTGGCGCAGGAATGAGGATCGGGTGAGTGTATCTTCTTTATTTTAGACCCTAGACCAAAAGGAGCACTTAACCCTTGCAGTGCATGGGGCAGCCCCACTGTAAGGGTTCATTTGAATACATTTTGCAAGATCACCCATGATCACACCATGATTAATGCCAAGTGATTGCTTCACATGGGGAACAATGTAGCAATTAAGCACGAACAGTAGCACAATGATACAAATTTGGGCGATCGATCGCTACAGCATACAGCTGCTTATGTGGCAATTGCTAGTGATCTCTACCAGGTTCGTTATGGGAGATAATCACAAAAATTGCCCATGTGTGACCAGACCAGGGTATCAGTTGCAGGCGTGTGACACACATTCAGCCACTAGAGGGAGCAGCTTTGTGTGAAATTCTGTCATGAAAATATGAAACATCAGCAATGTGAAAATTAAATCAAAACTTGCCTTCAGATCTACTTTACGTGATTACTAAAGATGCACTTTGCGCTGAATTTTCAATTGCGCACAGTTGGCACGGAGCTACTACAGTGTTTGTTACGCCACTCCTCCAGGTCCCTGTACTGCTCTGTGCTAAGCGGGTTCCCTAATGCTTAAATCCCCCATGTGACCTTACCCTAACCCAGTGGTGGCGAACCTTGGCACTCCAGCTGTTTATGAACTACAAGTCCCTTGAGGCATTGCAAGGCTCTGACAGCCACAGACATAACTCCCAGAGGCAGATGCATGTTGGGATTTGTAGTTTTGGCACAGCTGGAGTGCCAAGGTTCGCCACCACTGCCCTAACCAGTCAGATTCCAACTGTCGTTTTTTTTTTTACAGCAGGTTAAGAACAAAAGCAGATTGAACACAAATGACGCAAACTGATAAATCATTTAATATAAAACTCACTGATGCGGTAAACACGACCAAAAAAAAGTTTCATACCCCCTAGTAGGTTTCCAGCGCGCTCGAGTTCCACTCAGCAATTTAAATTTAAATATTGTTGAAGCGTGATGGATTTGAACTGTCAAGGGCGCTGTTTTTTTTGGAGCGCGTCCGCACGCCTGTAACCGGGGAGAGTGCATGTGTGAGACCTGAACGTTTCACCTCGCTTTTCCTGGCGATATCACTTCCTTCTCCCTAAGTGCGATTATCCTGTGATTGCTATAGGAATGAAAACAAAGCCCCCGTGATAAAGGGAAATGGATTTCGCCGCTCGGGTTTTACATTTCTCTCGGGGACGAGGTTCACGTGCTAAACATTTCCAACGGATCGGAGTCCGAGGATCGGATTTCGACAAAGGAAAGGAACAATCCATGGACGTGAACCTAGGTCTCTCGTGATACCCCGGAGTAATGAATATTGCTTGTTGGAGGGCAAACTATTTAACTTTGACGTCTCTCTAATGCTTTTCACTTTGTCGTGTTTTTGCTTTAAAGTGTATCTCATGCCAAAACTTTTTTTTTTAGTTTTGGATGGAGAAGGGAACATTCAAAGCTGAACTCCGGCCTTCCCTTCAGGCTTGCACAGTTGTACCGGCTTCCTCTCCTGATCTGGAAACCTTTAGGGTTCAGTCACTTAGATGCAGTGCGTGTGGGCCCAATTTCGTCCGATTGCGGCCCAGCTCACTTTTTAGTGGGGCAGGAGGGGGCGTGGCGGGCCATTCAAGTGAATGGCGCCGTAGCCACGCCCTCCGGCCGCAATGCGATCCGCCGCACGGGATCGCAAAGCACATTGTGCCTGGGGTCCTGTGCGGTGCGATCAAAATAGTGCTTGTAGCATTTTGATCGCATCGCACAGGATCGGACCGCAGGCACAATGCGCCTTGCGATCCCGTGCGGCGGATTGCATTGCGGCCGGAGGGCGTGGCTACGGCCCCATTCACTTGAATGGCCCGCCATGCCCCCTCCTGCCCCACTAAAAAGTGAGCCGGCCGTAATGCGAGGCAGTGTTTGGCCGGAACGCACTGCATCTAGTGTGACTGAGCCCTTACTCTGATTTCACTGAACACTGTGAGCTTCAGGGTGCAGGGTGCTGTGATGAGGGTGCCCATCTGTGAGCCCCCCCGAAATGCATTGCCTAGATCCTGTACCTGTTTGTAAAGAGAAATAAACCTTTACTGGACCAAGTACAGACCTGTGACACTCTCATCCTTTCATATGCTGCTTCGTCCTATTAGAACAGGGGTAGGCCTCAGCACTTCAGCTGTTGTGGAACTATGTGTCCCATGAGGCATTGCAAGGCTCTGATAGCCACAGGCATGACTCCCAGAGGCATGATGGGATTTGAACATTGACCTCAGCTGCAGCGACGAGGCTACTTACCCTTGTGTTGGAATATATGCCCTATCCGTTATATGCTGTCGCATTGCTGCATTTTGGAAGTTTCAAGAAAAATGACTTTCTGTTTACAATAATAAATCAAATTGAGTAATCAGTGAAAATCCACCGGAGACAACGTATTGCAGTTCATAAAAATTCTAAATATCTCTGACGTGATCTGCGTTTGACGTGCGGGGAGATCTCAGTTTACCGCGTGGCCGTGTTACAGGAAATGCGCGAGGAATTCAAATTTCACATGATTGAAACACTTGTTGTCCTTTTATTAGAAGAGTTACCACTATAATTGTGTCCCCTGTGTGTGCGTCCTGTGTGTGCGTTCCCTGTGTGTGTGTCCCCTGTGTGTGTGTCCTGTGTGTATCCCCCCCTGTATGTGTCTGCTGTGTGTGTATCCCCCCTGTATGTGTCTGCTGTGTGTGTGTCCCCTGTATGTGTCTGCTGTGTGTGTGTCCTGTGTGTGTATCCCCCCTGTATGTGTCTGCTGTGTGTGTGTGTCCCCGTCTGTGTCCCATCTGTGTGTCCCCTGTGTGTGTTCTCTGTGTGTGTGCCCCCTCTGTGTGTGTCCCCTGTGTGTAATGTTTATTAGACTGACAAACAGGTCACATTTCAGTAAAAACATCCCCATCTGAAATGAGCATTCCAACACATGTGTGTGTGTATCATAGGTTAAAATCATGTGTGCATTCCAACACGTGTGCATATCACAGGTCAAAATCATGTATGCATTCCAACACGTATGCATATGACAGGTCACAATCATGTATGCATCTGTGGAGGAGAGGATGAATCAGGTTAGGCCATGGGAAGGTGGCAAAAGGTATAAGTATGCATCGGGAATTTATCAAAACTGGAGCAGAGAGAATCAGGAGCAGTTGCCCAGGGCAACGAATCAGCGTCTCTCTTCAGTTTGCTCATTTAGGCTTTGAAAATGAAAGCTAGAAGCTGATTGGTTGCTGCTGGCAACTGATCCATATTCTGTCTGCCCCAGTTTTGATCAATTCCCCTCGCTCTGCTTTAAAGTGCATTTATCCTTTAAGCAAATAATATTTTTCAATCTGTTGCTAAGTCTCCTACCTGGAACCTCACTTTCTGTAGCAGGCTGACAACCCTAAACCATTGCCTTGCAATTAGCGGCAGCGTTGTCAGCCTGGGATGCAGGGCTGTTGGGCTGCGTACCTGACAGGCCAACTGCACACGGCAGGCTAAAAAACACTGCTCCTCATTTTGAGGTAATGGCTTAATGTTGTCAGCCTGCGACAGGAAGTGCTGTTACTGGCAGGATCTCCAGGAAAAGAAACTTTGCAGCAGATTCAAAAATCAATACTTGCTTGTGAAAATTGTACACAGTGAGGTATGAGCCTACACATGCTAAAAATAAGCCTTGAAATGCGGCCTACCTGCTTGGAGCTTAATTTTCTAATCCATGCATTGCTGTCGGTAATATAGAGGGGACCTTTGCACCGCTTTAAAATAAGCTCCGATCCGCCAGCGCTGACTGGCGGAACAGACAGGGGAGGGGGGCGGGTACAGCTGGCTCTGCCTCTAGATAGGCAGAGCCAGCTGTCACTCACGCAGCTCGGCGGATCTCGACATAGATGTCAGGATCCGCTCCGGCTGCGGCGTCTCCGTATACCGCACGCTGTAGCTCACGCTATACTGAGCTTAGGGTGACGGGAGGGCGCTAGTTTGTGTCCTCTCGTTACCCTAAGGAGAACTATGGGGAAAAGCCCTGACCCCATAGTTCTCCTTTAAATTCGGACAGAGCAGGTTTTTATTGCCTTTTATGTCCCTATTGAGAAGATATACTATAACTTACCAGTCAAGACAGGAAGTGAGGGGAAGTCTCCCCAACATGGACAGATAAAAACAGTTGCTATGGCAGCATATGTTCCCATGGAGGCTGCTGAGAAATGGAGAATTATATCCGTGCAGGGGGCTGTATTTTTTCAGCCTGGGGAGGGACTGGTGTGTGGTGTCCCGTGCAGATGCAGACAGATTGCATTCGGAGTCATGTATCTGTCTCCATACAGATGTAAACAATGGGGGTGTGTGAGGATCCCGCGCCTCCCCGGGTGTATTTACATGACCCTCTGATGTAAGGACTTGCATGCCTGCTGCATGAATGAGGCCTTGGGCTGAAATCATTTTCTTGTTTTAGTAGAAGGGGTCAGACTTGTTGACCTTTTTTTTTTTAAATTGCTGTCTGTGACTTCTGCGCCCTCATTTCATGTATGGTGTCATGGAGACAGGATGTGAAGGAAAATCTCCCCCATTGGGCTCACAGACAACACATAGAAATGTTATTTCCTCCCCACTCTTTTCTAAAACTAATAACAAAGCGTGTTTTGTGAAGTCAGGCTTTATAAAATAACTGATATGATCAGCCTGTAATGTGTTGCAAATGAATTCTCCTTGCACATTACGCGGAACCAGTTTTCACAGGCAGCTGTTCCCGGACTGGGAGGGAAAGCGGCGCACAACGCGGAAGCGTTCTGTCACCACGCTGGAACGCACTGCAGCTGCTCATGGCTTCAGCAGAGGGGGAGACCCTAAACTTCAATGTGGGGGTGCTGGGCCACATCGATAGCGGGAAGACTTCGCTGGCCAAGGCCTTGAGCACCACCTCTTCCACTGCTGCCTTCGATAAGAACCCACAGAGCCGGGAGAGGGGCATCACCCTGGACCTGGGCTTCTCTTCCTTTACCGTGCCCAACCCTGAACACCTGAGTCACACCGGCTACAGCCGCCTCCAGTTCACCCTGGTGGACTGTCCGGGTCATGCCTCCCTCATCAGGACCATCATAGGAGGTGAGTGCACCCTGCTGCTGCTGCTGCTGCTGCTGCTGGAGGAGCACAAGTGCCAGCATGGCCTGACTGAGAACTAGAGGTGCCAGCATGGCCTGACTGAGAACTACAGGTGCCAGCATGGCCTGGCCTGACTGAGAACTACAGGTGCCAGCATGGCCTGACTGAGAACTACAAGTGCCAGTATATCCTCATTAAGCACTACTAGTTACAGCGTGCTCTGATAGAGAACTACAAGTCCTAGCATGTATTGATAGAGAACTACAAGTCCTAGCATGTATTGATAGAGAACTACAAGTCCTAGCATGTATTGATAGAGAACTACAAGTCCTAGCATGTATTGATAGAGAACTACAAGTCCTAGCATGGCCTGATAGAGAAATAGGAGTGTCAGCAGGTCCTGTTAAAGAAATAGAAGTCCAGGTGTGCCTTCATAAAGAACTCCCGCCTCCAGTGAGCTTTTATAGAGAACCATAAGTCCCAGAATGGCCTCATATAGAACTACAAGTCCCAGCATTTTCCATCATACAAGGGACAGTCTCAGCATGTCCTGAAAGCGGAGTAGCTAGTTCCAGCACTCTCTGCCTGTTAGTTCTCTGGCTGTCAGGTCACATTGGGACTGATAGTTCCTTAGCAGCACACTGAATTGGTAGTTCACCGACTGCGGGTGCCCTGGGACTGGAAGTTCCCCACATTTTGGAGCACTCTGGGACTGGTAGTTCCTTGCCTGCCAGGGCACTCCTGGATTTCTAGTTCTCCCTTTGGAGCACACTTGGACTGATTGTTCCCCACCTATTGAGGCATGTTGGGACTAATAGTTCTCTATCAGGGGGCACTGGGACTAGTAGTTTCCCACCTTTTGGAGCATGCTGGAATTGGTAGTTCCATGCCTGTCTGGCCACATTTGTGAGCGCTCTGAGTCTGATAGTTTCCCGCCTGTCGGGGCGCATTGCGACTGATAGTTCACTGACTGATGACATCACCTCAGCCGAGGCAAGGAGCTGACTGATGACATCACCTCAGCCGAGAGCAAGGAGCTGACTGATGACGTCACCTCAGCCAAGGCATGGGGCTGAATGATATCACCTCAGCCGAGAGCAAGGAGCTGACTGATGACATCACCTCACCTGAGAGCAAGGAGCTGACTGATGACATCACCTCAGCCGAGAGCAAGGAGCTGACTGATGACGTCACCTCAGCCGAGAGCAAGGAGCTGACTAATGACGTCACCTCAGCCGAGGCAAGGAGCTGACTGATGACGTCACCTCAGCCAAGAATCTGACTGATGACGTCACCTCAGCCGCGGCAAGGAGCTGACTGATGACGTCACCTCAGCCTGAGGCAAGGAGCTGACTGATGACATCACCTCAGCCGAGACAAAGAGTGGACTAATGGCAAAGTCACTGAGCTGGAGCCTAAGGGATGACTTTTTTAATGATAAAAGGTGACACTTGTTTTTTTTTATAATTCTGTTGCTTTCTTTTTGGAATGTTAGGAAATCATACAAACTTACTGACAGTTCTCCTTTAAGGACCGGATCCCCTATGTCATACTCCAGCCTTGTCAATGCTGTAAAATTCCGTTTTTTTTTGTCGGAATATTTCTTTTTTTCCACTTGGTTGTAGCAGAGATACTAAAATGGCCACTAACTGGCAACTTGCTGCCCCATGTGATTTAGTTTTTTTTCCCACGGACATAAAATGCGCCCACATGACGAGACAATGGGCCATTCTCTGGAGCGGCCGGTCTCTCCTGAGTGGGTTGCAGGTCACAGTGACACATCAATGGGACTTTCTTTCCGGCTGGTTCTCTTCTTTGTTTTTTTCCGGCATGTGATTGAATTTAATCAGTTTCAGCCATCTTATTCTGCCATTATTTTTAGTTTTGTTCTTTCTGCCAGCGTCGGTTTAAATAGTTTGGAGCCGGGGCTGGATGGGTAGCAGGCAAAAACGGCCGCCGCTCCCTTGCCTGGCCCTTTGTCCCATTGATTATAGATGCCCTTAAAGGGAAAGCAAAGTGTATTTTCAGCCATTGGGAGTTACTATTGTATATATTAAGGTCATTTTAAAGCTGTACTATAGGGCAGGGGTGTGCAACCCCGGAGCCCTGGAACAGCATAGAGTATGTAGCATCATATTAGTCTGCATTGCTGTATAATGTATTGCTGGGATTTGTAGCCCCCTATAGCTGGTGGTATTCTGCATTGCTATATGATGTATTGCTGGGATTTGTAGCCCCCTATAGCTGGTGGTATTCTGCATTGCTATATGATGTATTGCTGGGATTTGTAGTCCTCTATAGCTGGTGGTATTCTGCATTGCTATATGATGTATTGCTTGGATTTGAAGTCCTCTATAGCTGCTTCCATTTTGCATTGCTGTGTAATGTTTTGCTGGGATTTGTAGTCCACAGGGGCATAACTAGAAATCAAAGGGCCCCATAGCATCAATTTGTATGGGGCCCTGTGGTTTTTAGTTATGCCCCTTGCAGAGCCCACCTGAGATCCCACCCAACCCACCTGAGAGTGACCCTGCAGAGCCCACCATAGACTCTCTATGGTGGGCTCTGCAGGGTCTCAAGTGGGCTGGCACACCTCTTACCTGTCAGCCCCAATCTGCTCCCCCTCTACGGTGGCAGGCCCCTCCTCCTCCATCGTTGGGCCTCGCCGATGCCGGGCCCCGCCTCCTAGATGATTGCGTGGGGCTCCGCCTCCTCCTCAGTTGCCGACGCTGGGCCCATTGCTATATAATGTTTTCCTGGGATTTGTAGTCCATCTACAGCTTGGAGTCAGTGGCCGAACTACCAGGGTCTGACTGGGCCACTGGCGCTCCATCAGTGTCCTAAAATCTTTAGTCTGTATTGTTTTAGAAAAAACTGTCACATGACCCTAAAAAAAGGTGTCTGTAATTGGGATCGGCGAGTACTTGAGGAAAAGTACCGGTACTTCTAATCAGTGTGTAAAAATGGTGTCGGTGCTTCCTAATTTCAAATACATATTGGTCTATTGACTGAACCTGGAGTTCCCCTTTAACCATGCCGTGCTGGGTTACCTTTTACTTGGCGCCACTATCTGAGGGGACCCATTGAACAATTTTTGCAGATTCAGCCCCCCTCTTTTTTTTTTTTTTTTTTTATTCTGCGGTGATTTCGGCTCTGTGAATCCGGTAATGTCTCCGCGGCCGCTGCCTGCAAGAAATTAAGATTTAAATGGAATAAAGGACAACTGAATCAATGCGCTCCGTGATTTAATTTCTCATATCTCCTGCGCCGCGCACAATCGCCGTCTGGGCTGTTCACCGGCAGGGCTACTTCTTGGCTGACGATCACAGGGGTCTCTTGATTAGAGCATATGTCTCGGGGTAACTTAATTTATCTGAGGTTTTTTTTTTTTCTTCTCCTCTTGTTGTGCACAAGTCATATTTGCCTGTAGGCCGGATGTCTGGGCTCTCCTGTCTCTGTCAGAAATTACTTTTAAGATCCAACGTTTGCTGTCCTTCATCCTTTTTGTGTTTTTTTTTTTTGCCTGATGCCATTTAGGAAATAATACCTTCCCTGCAAATGAGCCCGGTATCAATAGGAACCAAAAATTACATCTGGCCTCCCATTTTTTTTTTTTTTTAATCCTGTGGTCACCTAACAGTATTAAAAAAAGAGGCTCAGGCTTCAATACTTAGATTCAGTCAGGGGCTGTCATCTTTTCAGCCCAGCGTCTCTCAATGCAAAAGACCGAGGAGTACTGTGTGTATGTGTGTGTGTGGAAGAGGCCCCAAGTATCCCTATTCTTTATGATCCAGATTGGTGATACACTTTATTGCTAAAATTATTGGGGCGCCCTCCAAATCATTGGATTCAGGTGTTCCGTGAAATTTTCTTGCTACTAAATATTCCACGGTCACCTGTTAGTGGTATTATCACAAAGTGGAAGCAACCGGGAACAACAGCAACTCAGCCACGAAGTGGTAGGCCACGTAAAATGACAGAGCGGGGCAGAGTCAATGGCCTTCAGATTGGCACAACAACAGTGCGTAGAGAGCTTCATGGAATGGGTTTCCATGGCCGAGCAGCTGCATCCAAGCCTCACATCACCAAGTGCAATGCAAAGCGTGGGATGCCGTGGTGTAAAGCGCGCCGCCACTGGACTCTAGAGAAGTGGAGACGTGTTCTCTGGAGTGACCAATCACGCTTCTCTGTCTGGCACTCAGATGGGCGTGTCTGGGTTTGGCGGTTGCCAGGGGAACGGTACTTGTCTGACTGCATTGTGCCAAGTGTAAAGTTTGTTGGAGGGGGGATTATGGGGTGGGGGTTGTTTTTCAGGGTTTGGGCTTGGCCCCTTAGTTCCAGTGAGGGGAAGTCTTAAGGCATCAGCACACCAAGACATTTTGGACAATTTCATGCTCCCAACTTTGTGGGAACAGTTTGGGGAGGGCCCCTTCCTGTTCCAATATGACTGCGCACCAGTGCACAAAGCAAGGTCCATAAAGACATGGATGGGGGAGTTTGGGGTGGAGGAACTTGGCTGGCCTGCACAGAGTCCTGACCTCAACCCGATAGAACACCTTTGGGATGAATTAGAGCGGAGACTGCGAGCCCGGCCTTCCCGTCCAACATCAGTACCTGACCTCACAAATGGTCCAACATTCCCATAGACACACTCCTAAACCTTGTGGACGCCTTCCCAGAAGAGTTGAAGCTATAATAGCTGCAAAGGGCGGAGCCAACTCAATACTGAACCCTACTGACATTTTATAAGAACACACGGGGCCCCTGGAGTATTTTTTATTAAAATTTGTATATTTTTATAGAAAAAAAAATTTTTTTAAACCAATTTCCCCTTCCCGAGAGCTAATGTGTAGGAGCGAATTTCAGGTTGGCGCTCTTCCTGATTCAGAGCAGATTATCGAGCGCCCATGGGGGGGAAGGGACTGGACGTGCCGGCCGAGGAAGAAGCGCAACACAATCCGCATAGCTATGCCGAGCGCGGCTTCGCACACCGGCAGGATGGT